CAGGGATCGAGTTGCGATTTCGAAACTTCAACAAGGTGTAAAAATTCTGTGATATCTAGCGCCGGAATATTTCTAGGTGCAGAAACAACACTGAAACAATTATTTATATGGCTAATACTTATAATACTATCAACATTAATATAATCATTACTATTACTAGTAATAAACAACTAAGGTTGATTTGTTAATATGAATCAAGTCTCTTGTGTCTCGGCAAATGATATCATTTCTGATGTTATACACGCCTTCATCAAACACTCCGCACGCTCAAGTTTTGTGATGCTGATAAGAGTTCACACTCAGACGGCCTGCGTTATTTGATGATGGCAAATAATAATGTTCGTCTTAAATTCAAGAACAAAGCCATGATTTGCCGATAATGATTCCCTAGTTGGTAAGGTAAACTTTGTGTTGTCATTAAAAGGTCTTTGTATAATCTGTTGCAAAGTAAGACAATACATCTATATAATCCATGGTGCTGATAGACAACACATTGCAATGCGTGGTGAATTTAAACGATGAAAAAAAATGTTATTTTTATACAAGTCGGGAAATTAGGTGGCGTTGCAGTTACTATCACGTAGCTGCAAGCAAAGTAATAGCTATTTCGGCATCTGTACTCCTCGCAAGCAAGATCCCCGCACTCCAAAATTCAAATGTGTTATTCCAAGGATCCTCATACAAGTAAAAAAACATATAATATTACTGAATCACAATCAACTTTATTATTATTATTAATAATTTTATTAATAGCGTGGTTGTAACTATGTTTTGAGATAGATCGAATGTTTTAATCCCCTCTAGCAAGACTACTGCCCTATCTGTGTTACTAACCTGCATTTGATATGGTTATCTTAGTTTGTTATATATAGCAACGCTCCGGATAATCTGTGATTAAAGAAATTAATCTGTACTGTTTATTTTTATTATATATAATAATTCAAATCACTTAAACTTGGTTAGTGTTCATCACTAGACATTACACGGTGCACGTTCACTCAGGTCGAGAATATAACGTCTTGCGAAATTTACAAGCAATATAATTTAAAAAGAAGCAAGACAGCTACGGAGATTTCTTTCTCGGGTAAACAACTACGTTTGTTCAAAGTTGCTTCTTCTCCCCATTATTTATCATTAAAAAAAAACCTTAATTTTATTGCGACAAAATATTCTTTGGTTTATCCTTGAAGATTTATTAACGTATTTGTGATATTGAAATTGACACGCTATGAATGTCTCATTTTCCCAGTGTACGTACTGAATATAACATTGAATGCCATCATCATTCATTCACTGAGACTGAACGAGTTTAATCGTGAGCAGAAAACGTACGACATTTTAGGTGTATACTTCTTAAAATTATTTTAGGACACTTTCCTGCTTCACTGCTATCTTCTCCTACTGGTATATATAAAATTTAAACCTCAGTTTTAATTAACTTAATTAATTAATTTAAACTTTAACTTCGGCTTAACTTTTTTTCGCTTAATTGATATCCCGTACCCAAATTAATCCAAATACATTAATTTTACAATGGCTAATAGTGTTAATACTTCAGCAAAAATGCACGTTAATCTAGTCATAAAGATTTGAATGACGCTGTCCAAAGACAATCAGATGACAATGTCCAAAGACAGTCAGATGACAATATCCAAAGACAGTCAGATGACAATGTACAAAGGCAGTCAGATGACAATTTCCAAATACACTCAGATGACAATATTCAAAGACAGTCAGATGACAATGTCCAAAGACAGTCAAATGACAATGTTCAGTCAGATGACAATGTTCAAAGACAGTCAGATAAATATGTCCAAAGACAGTCAGATAACAATGTCCAAAGACAGTCAGATGACCATGTCCAAAGACAGTCAGATGACAATGTCCAAAGGCAGTCAGATGACAATGTCCAAAGACAATCAGATGACAATGTTCAAAGACAGTCGTATAACAATGTCCAAATACACTCAGATGACAATACACAAAGACAGTCAGATGACAATGTCCAAAGACAGTCAAATAACAATGTTCAGTCAGATGACAATGTTTAAAGACAGTCAGATAACAATGTCCAAAGACAGTCAGATAACAATGTCCAAAGAGAGTCAGATAATAATGTCCAAAGACAGTTGATAACAATGTCCAGAGACAGTCAGATGATAATGTTCAAAGACAGTCAGATAAATATGTCCAAAGACAGTTAGATAACAATGTCCAAAGACAGTCAGATGACCATGTCCAAAGACGGTCAGATGACAATGTCCAAAGACAGTCAGATGACAATGTCCAAAGACAGTCAGATGATAATGTCCAAGACACTCAGATGACAATGTTCAAAGACAGTCACATAACAATGTTCAAAGACAGGAAGATAACAGTGTCCAAAGACAGTCAGATGACAATGTCCAAAAACAGTCAGATGACAATGTCCAAAAACAGTCAGATGACAATGTTCGAAGACAGTCAGATGATAATGTCCAAGACACTCAGATGACAATGTTCAAAGACAGTCACATAACAATGTCCAAATACACTCAGATGACAATATTTGAAGACATTCAGATGACAATGTCCAAAGACAGTCAGATGACAATGTTCGAAGACAGCAGATAACAATGTCCAAAGACAGTCAGATGACAATGTTCAAAGACAGTCAGATAACAATGTTCAAAGACAGTCAGATGACAATGTCCAAAGACAGTCAGATGACAATATACAAAGACAGTCAGATGACAATGTCCAAAGACAGTCAGATGACAATGTTCAAAGACTGTCAGATAATGTTCAAAGACAGCCAGATAACAATGGCCAAAGACAGTCAGATGACAATGTTCAAAGACAGTCAGATAACAATGTTCAAAGACAGTCATATAACAATGTCCAAAGACAGTCAGATGACAGTGTTCGAAGACAGTCAGATAATAATGTCCAAAGACAGCCAGATAACAATGTCCAAAGACAGCCAGATAGCAATGGCCAAAGACAGTCAGATGACAATGTACAAAGACAGTCAGATGACAGTGTCCAAAGACAGTCAGAAGACAATGTTCAAAGACAGTCAGATAACAATGTTCAAAGACAGCTAGATAACAATGTCCAAAGACAGTCAGAACACAATGTCCAAAGACAGTCAGATGACAATGTACAGAGGCAGTCAGATGACAGTGTCCAAAAACAGTCAGATGACAATGCTCAAAGACAGTCAGATAACAATGTTCAAAGACAGCCATATAACAATTTCCAAAGACAATCAGATGACAATGTTCGAAGACAGTCAGATAACAATGTCCAAAGACAGCCAGATAACAATGTCCAAAGACAGCCAGATAACAATGTCCAAAGACAGTCAGATGACAATATTCAAAGACAGTCAGATGACAATGTCCAAAGACAGTCAGCTGACACTGTCCTAAGATTAGTCAGATGACACTGTCCAAAGACAGTAAGATGACATTCTGTTTCATAGCATTGAGGAAATGCAGATAACCAAGCATTTATTGCAGCCAAATGTAGCTCTTATTCCAACTGAACCAAATGCATATTATTGTAAATTATATATTTTAACAAAAGAAGATTGCAGGACAAATTGTAGCCCCGGTGCTCGAGCTATGCAACGCTCGCATTCATGAGAGTTTTCGCAAAAGGCGCACCAAATAGAATAGATTAATTATAGGCTTGTGTAGATCACAATTACAAGGCCAGTGAACAAAGTAAATAAAACCATTAGCAGGTTGAATGTTGATAAATTTCACTGTCATTTTGTGCCATGGTTTCGCTCTGCATGCGGGGACCAAGTGTGTTCATGAGACATAATGAGACAGAATTAAAAACTTTGCACGCGATATGTCAGCTGTCAATTATTAGCTGTCTTCCTTGTTATCAGTGACTCCGGCCGTAAGTTGGAGTAGTTTTCATGCATTAGTCACGCAAAGTTCAAGTATTTATGTTGAATGAAGAATCTTATCTGACGATATAAATTGATGCAATCAGTTCTGTTGACATGTTGAAATTTTCTTCAATGAGACTCAGAGACTTTTACCGAGAAATCTCCTTATCCATGTTGATACCAACAAGCTTTTTAATCGTGATAGCTGGCCCTTGAAAAAGTATAAGATTGAAATCATCAACGAGTTATTACAGAACTGACAGCATGGGTAGCGCAATTTGAATGATTCACAATGAGTTTCCGAGAAAAAAATAAGGTTTACCTGTAATATTTTCACTTTGTCAAAAATAATACAAGAATGTTGCGGCCAAGAAGAATGTTCAAAAATTTCTACACTAATTTGTTAGAACAATGAACATATTTCCACCTCACTACTACTACCGAGAATTTAATCAATTTACACATTTTGAGAACCTCTGCGGAAGAGCAATGATCGAACGAGAAGCAAAAACAAGAAACGTGTAAATGGGAATGAGATAGAATGCATATTTCATTATTTTTAAAAGGTTTGAGAATTAGGGTTTGATGTTGCAGTGAAGGCTTCATATTATTGGATATTGTGTGGTCTCTGGCAGATAGATTCGTGTTTCCATGCTTCCCCCGCCGATTCATTTTTTTTACTGATATGTTGTAATTGGAAAGATAATTATAATTGGTGCACTATATTTACAGTATTAAATTTGTCTGTATGTCGATTCGTTTTCATAGACATTGTAATGGATAAAATTAACGTAAGCGTTCTATGAGAAATATCACATGAAATTTATCGCTCTCATTCGGCTCAGTCTTCAAGATATCGGTATGGATAGGATTATAGATAATCGTTATGGAGCGGATTATGGATGAATGTTCTTAGAAAAATTTCAATGACTCTGTAACTATGGCGGTGAACAAACGCAGCATTTATAGGCGAGCTATGTAACCTTCACAAAATGCTGTTTGATTATACATTATTGATCCACATATTTTAGTCAGATTTTACGATAAATTCATTGTCTAATATTTCTTATTTACTCTCCTTAATATAAACCGAAAATTTTCTCTATCTTTGCAGCCCATCAACATGTGGGGATGGACATCATAATTAAGACAAAAGTAATTTTAAAATCTGTCTGCAATCTTTGAGTGGCATACTACACAGTAAAGCCACACGGTGCAGCTTATGTCTGCAATCACTGAGTGGCATAAAAATACAATACAGACAATCACACAAGATGACACATCAGCTGGCAGTCTCCCTGACAGTTCTGTTAGCCGTCAGCTTTGTCTCTTCTAGTGAGTCCTTCAGTAGTTATGATTAACTAGTTTCTTGCCTGCACAGATATATTTTTAGTATTAATTTCAAGCTAGTTCCTTCCGTCCACTGAAATATTTCAGCGTTATAAATTAAAACAGTCAAAAACTGTGGGTATCCTTCTTTGACGAGATGTGAACTTTGATTTTAGTTTTTAAGATAATTTTAATCGAACTTGATGCGCAATAACATCAGAAAAATGCGATCTTGAATATGAAAAAAGTTGAATGACCTGCTTATGGATAATTAAACTTGACTGATATCTAATTATATATTAGCCGTTCAAAACGTCATTTATTTCAAAACGTTCCTTAAAAATACAAATTGGTCTAATTGAATGGCAGCAGTTTTTAATTAGAACACAGCATGCGTCACCGCCTTCACGCAAATATCATTTTTGCGGTATTGAATTGACTGCCAGAAGATAAAAAAACTAGATATAACTTTAAGAACAAATGCACATAACTAACGCAAAGAGTTTATCAAAAGATGAGAAATTTTGTTAGCAAAATAATGTTTGTTTCAGCGGTCATAGACGCGCCAAGGATAAATCTGCCGTCGCAGGGTGACAGCTTCGTCGCGGATGTCCATTCCTCCGTGCGATTCAAGTGCTCCGGCTCACGGCCTGTCCAGTGGCGGGCGCAGCATCAAAACGTATGGAATCATAGAATATAATTATGATAAATTTGCACTATTTGAGCAAATAGCTGTCCTCTGCGCCAATGGCATCAAATAAAAATGAAGCACTGATATTATTGGTCGAAAGCTATCTTCTACAGCCAATGGGTTCAAATGAAAGCACAAACAATATTTTTCATCGGCTGTCTTCTACGGTCAACGCTATTGAGTACAGCCACTAACATTGTTTTTTTTTTTAAATTAAGGTTTGCATTTACCACCAACGTTTTAAAATGATAGTGACTACATCCTGTCATTTGAATTTAGTCTCGTCCGCGATTCGCAACCCTGTAGGTTTACCAGATTTTGTTAAAACTTAAAAGTACAGAGAAGTGCGTATACTTTTATAAAAAACTGACGATTAAGGTTCAATGGCTCGATTTCTGGAACAACTCACGATAAATTGGGATTGTAGGAACAAAAATTTGACTTTCAATGCTGAAGTTAAAGGAAAAATAAAGATGGAAAAAGTTGAAAAATTTAAATTCTGAAGTTGAAAAATTCAGATAATGTATTGTGGTCATTGTCTGCTTATTTAGATAATAAGTTAAGAATTTATATCAGCCAGACAAAACGTCAAGAAAATTCCAAATATTTTTCATCAAATAATTTTCACAAAATTATGATGAAGATCCAGTTTATTTTTCTAATAAAGTCTTACTTGCAACCACGCACGGAAATTTTTAAGATGGAACAGAAATCGGCGTTCTTTATGACAATTTAAATTAAATAATTTTTATCGTTGAAATATTTCCCATTTTTATGGTTGGCCATTAATTCTGTTATTTGGCTTCCTACAAAATATAAACATTCAATTCAATATTTAATAAATAATAAATGTCCCATGAACGTTTTATTCTTTTATCATCTCTACCATTATCCTCACACAGAACTTCGCGCAGAACACCTTCAAATTCACCGCTCAATTTGAGGTAAGAATTAGACCTCTTATATTTACCCTAATTCGCAACCCTCATGAATGTTAACCATTTAGCAAAATCTGTACTTTCAATAAAGTTAACTTTTGGGCTAATTCTTGGCCCTAAGAAAGTTAACTATTAGCTTATTATTAGGTAACCATTGGGTAATTTTATAATTAATTACGATGATCAACCCTATTATAGACAAATTACTTAAAAAATTTTATAATTATCTATGATGAATAAATTTATCAGAAAAATATTACGAAACTCTGCAGGCTAACAGGTTCCTTTATGATTCATTTTGTTTAACCAACTAATTTAGAATTAATAATTGCTGCTAACAATCGTATGCTAGAATAGCGTGGTAATTCTATTCCTAATTGTCATATAATTCACGTCAATTCAAGTTCTGTACCTTTATGGGGAAAGATGAACATATGTTTACCCCACTTTTTTTCGTGCGTGTAAGGGCCATTAACAGATTATATGTATTTTTGTCTTTTATTGTTCGTGTTTATGATGATTAACTTAAGTTTGTAACAAATTCATCAATTAACTACTTTCAAGGTTTTTCTTGCCCTGCATCCTAAATTATGATGCACAAACTTTTTTTCGATCTCTCGTGTATTTAAAGTTACAATTATACTACACATGAATTCTTCCAAACTTTGGACATCAGTTACATACTGAGAAACTGGGGTAAATTTTCCAATTAATTATATGAATAATTTTTGTGGCAGTTACACAACGTAACTGTGAGCGATGTTGGCTACTACACCTGCGCATACGTCAACTGTACATCATCGTCACCCTCATGCAGCTCCAGCATCTACCTCTACGTCAAGGGTGAGTGTACGCTCAACAAAATACAAGCAGAAATATATCTCAATTAAAGCACTCCAAACACTCATTCACTGCTAAAAACTTCCACCAAGCTTTTTGCGTTTCGACCATTTGTTGCAACCTTTTCGGTTCCCGATGGGTCAATACATTATTTTATTAAATAATTACCTATATAGCCATGCTTAATTTATCATTATATATGATGTATTTAAACTCGTACTGCATTAGAATATATGAACTTTATAATGTATGGAATGGTTCAAATTTTATTAATAATGCATTTATTATAGTCATAAAATCATTTCTTATCGTAGATATGAACCAGATTTATTTCTTCGCGCAGACGAGGATAATCTTCTTACGCTGCAGAACCAAGTGTACTTCCTGAAGGTTCCTTCAGACCAGGACTTCGTCGTCCCCTGCAAGCCTTCCTTCCCGCAGGTCGAAGTCTCGCTCACCCAAGCCAGCGGCACCGAGGTCCGTCTCTAGATATTATTAATCTTATCAATCTATTCGTATTCCTCTATTTATATATTCTTCAATTTATATATCTTAATATTAATTTCCTCTTTTTGCATTCCTCAACTTTTATTTATATGATTCTAGTCCTAAAACTTTTAGAATCCTAGTCTTAGAACCCTTACAACCCTAATCCTAGAACCCTTAAAACCCTAGTCTTAGGACCCTTAGAACCCTAGTCCCTGAAATCAATAGAAATCTAATACAAGAACCCTTAGAATCCTAGTTCTAGAAAACTAAAAACTAAAAACCCCAGTCGTAGAACCCTTCGAACCCTAGTCCCTAGATCCCTTAGAAGTTAGTCCTACAACCCTTCAAACTTTAGTCCTAGAACCCTTACAGCCCTAGTTCCTAGAATCCTTACAACCCTAATTCCTAGAACCCTTAGAACCCAAGTCCCCAAAACACTTAAACCCTTTGTCCCTAGAACCTTTACAATCCTATATATAGTCCTAGAATCTTTAGAACCCTAGTTCCTAGAACCCTTAGAGCCCAAGGCCCTAGAACCCTTAAACCCTTTGTTTCTAGAACCCTATCAACTCTAGTCCTAGAACCCTTAAAACCCTAGTTCGGTAGTACAACCTACCCTAAACAAGCGTTGGCACGGGCTGTAATCGATTTTTTGTCCACTATACTGAGTTTAGTGCTTCTTCATAGTATTTTATAAATTGTGTTCTTTTTACCATTCTGCTTCTTGTATTTACTTCAAAACGGGTTATAATCAACTGATTTGTTTGATATACTTCTCTCTGGATTGACTTATTCCTACGGGTTCTTATAAATTGTGCATTGATGACCATCATATAAAAAACTTTACAGGTTTCGCATTTATAACTATAACTTTCTGGGCGGTGCCTTTTTAACTGAAACTTTACGGATTTTACCTTCATAACCATAACTTCATGTACAGTACATTTTCATAACAATACTACAGGTGTCACCGGAATTCTTCGACAAGAAGACAGGCTATAACATTACTGCGTCCGAGACAATGGTTATGTTCTTTTGCTACGGCATGTACGCCTCGGCGCTGTCCTCCGTAGACTTCATGGTGCAGTGTAGGTGCAGTGCACCGTGCATGCTTGGTTCTTGATAATAAATTTTCGAGTTTCAAATAACATTGTTGCACGGCTTTATTTTACACGCGAGCTGATGGAACGTTATCTTTGTTGTCATCTATACATTTGTGCATTATTTTGCTTTCGTCCATATGTTTCTCATTCCGGTTTAAAAAGAAAATTAATTCTGTTCTTCGTCTCCGAACGCATTGCTGGAATTATTTGAAGTTTGCCTTGCAGCATCTAACTACTAACATCATGCATACTAATAATTAACTAACTTTATTAATAATTAGAACTTACTAATGAACCTATTCCTTTTATTGTTTTTTCACTAACGCTTTCTATCTTGCTAGCCTTCGCTACGGAAATACATGTATAAATCACTACTACCAATCGTAACTAAGCAACAGAGAATTCACATGCACGTGACCTATAGCAGTTCAAATGTTGTGCCAGTGCACGGAAAATTTGCTTATTGAGGCATGCATGCTTATAGTGTACATTGTGTTTCGGAAGAAAATACGGACAGTGTACGAAGAAGGAATTGATAAGCATTCAAGGCTTTTATATTAGAAAATTAGCGTTTATTTCTTCAAGTATGGGGGAATTTAGAACGCATTTTTACTTGGGTACTTGTGAACGAAAAAACGCATTTTTACTCGAGTACGAGAAAACGGAGAAAAGACTTTTACTTAAATGCGGGTGAAAGAAGAACGCATATTTATTTCAGTACGGGTGAAAGAAGAACGCATATTTACTTCACTACGGTGAAAGAAGAACGCATATTTACTTCACCACGGGTGAAAGAAGAACAGATATTTACTTACGTACGGGTGAAAAAAACAAGTCATATTTCCTTCAGTATGGGTAAAAAAACGACGCACATCTTCTTCAGTACAAGCAAAATAGAAAATGCACTCATTTAGGTTTGGTTTTTGGGTGCAGGTGACGTGGAAGTATAGCCCCCAGGACGGGTTTGCCGCCAATAAAACGTTGCTCACCCACACTGGAATAAAGATCTGTGAAGGCATCTACAAAGGCATCCGCACAAGTTATTTTATTCAAGGTTTGTTCAATTTTAATAACATTAAAATTAAATAGCCAGCGACTTAACGATTTTATCTAATTAATGTTCCTATAACTGAGCTAATTGATTACTTGTTAATGACAGTTTCTTGAACATACGCTGTTCATACATTATTAACTTATAAATGATCATGCTAGAAAAATGAAGCTCAAAAACTCGATCCTTAATACACTCTCATGTTCTTCTTCGCGGTAAACATGCAAAAAGAGAAATAATCATTTAAAATGGCATCGAAAAACTTATGGACAAAGAAAATAGAATTCGATCGTATTATTAACAATAAAGTGATCTTCAGTTACTAATAAGTAATGGATTTATAAACAGCAATATTTGGGTGAAAGAAGAACGCATATTTATTTCAGTACGGGTGAAAGAAGAACGCATATTTACTTCACTACGGTGAAAGAAGAACGCATATTTACTTCACCACGGGTGAAAGAAGAACAGATATTTACTTACGTACGGGTGAAAAAAACAAGTCATATTTCCTTCAGTATGGGTAAAAAAACGACGCACATCTTCTTCAGTACAAGCAAAATAGAAAATGCACTCATTTAGGTTTGGTTTTTGGGTGCAGGTGACGTGGAAGTATAGCCCCCAGGACGGGTTTGCCGCCAATAAAACGTTGCTCACACACACTGGAATAAAGATCTGTGAAGGCATCTACAAAGGCATCCGCACAAGTTATTTTATTCAAGGTTTGTTCAGTCTTGATAAGATTAAAATTAAATAGCCAGCGACTTAACGATTTTATCTAATTAATGTTCCTATAACTGAGCTAATTGATTACTTGTTAATGACAGTTTCTTGAACATACGCTGTTCATACATTATTAACTTATAAATGATCATGCTAGAAAAATGAAGCTCAAAAACTCGATCCTTAATACACTCTCATGTTCTTCTTCGCGGTAAACATGCAAGAAGAGAAATAATCATTTAAAATGGCATCGAAAAAACTTATGGACAAAGAAAATAGAATTCGATCGTATTATTAACAATACTAACGCTTTAACAAAATAATTTAGAATTAATAATTGCTGCTTTCATCTCAGTCAGTTAATAATAAGTAATGGATTTATAAACAGTAATATTTTAGTTGATGACAAATTATTTTTGGCGACTTTTTGGACTTTTGCACTAACATTTGCACGCATGAATAACGCATGGATGTGTGAGTTGTTTTTACCAACACGCTTGACTTAGCTTAAATAACCCTCATATAATATATATGAATAACCCGCATATAATATCTTAAATAACCCTCATATAATATATATGAATAACCCGCATATAATATAAAAATAACCCGCATATAATATATATAACATAATGATTTGCTTCTATTTTTGTAAGTCTAGAGATAATGTTGATGGAAATACTTAGTATAATGAGCCAATTAGACATTAAAAATGCCTTGAGAGTTCATGCGATATAAATGTTATTCTTTTTATTCTTCATTGTAATTGCAATTGCAAAAATTAACTTGATATTCGAGTCACTATTTAATTCAGTTAACCACAATTAAGTTATATACAACAATGGTTTATATGAAATTGAGCTGTGTGCAGATGTATTTATACAATTGAGTTATAGACGTTCATGTGTCGTCACTTAGGCCTTATGTTTCGTTTATACAATTAGATTGATTCTTTAAATTAGATTGTATTTCATGATCAAATCAGTATTGAAATTTGTTAATTAGGTAGTGTTATCGTGACCTATATCGTAAGTCGTACAAAACATAATCGTCAATATTAAAGAACTCTTCTCTTTATGCCCCACGCATGCTCCAATTGAGCCGTTAATCCAAAAGCAACATTTCCAAATGTTCCTTCGTTAAATGTTAATTATTATTTATTAGTTCCGTTTGACAACTTCACTAGTTCATGAATTAGAATCACACTATCGTCAAATATAAATTCAAAAGTTTGACCACAGATGTTTTCTTTCAATTATAAATTTCTGTACAAATCACTTTTTCATCATGTTTGGAACGATAATTTACGAAAGGTAATAGAACGATTATTCTTTATTATATTTATCCGTTTTAAATATTATTATATTTAATTCATTTTTAATTTAATTTTTAATTAATTATTAGTTATTAATTAATTAATTTTTTAATTTATTTACTTAATTATTATATTTATCCGTTGTGTATGTTTATGAAGATGTGCTCTGAACATGCGTACCCAGACGTGAACGAGCCGATCACGCCGTGGGTGCAGGTGACGGGGGCGTGGCAGATGAGACACGCTAACATGTCATTCTATGACGTGCTCGAGGGCACCTCCGTGGCCCTGCACTGCAATAAGATAGAGCGCACTGATGGTGAACCTTACTGGCTCTACGACGTGGCGCACACTCACCAGGTCATTACTATGTTCAACTTATTAATGCTTTATAATATTCATCAATGCATAATACAGTATGTATGCAATGTATATATAATTTAGAATAATATAATATCATATCATTTCATACATGCGCGTAAATGTAACCAAGAGATTAAGTTCATGTGCTGTAATAAATTAACAATTACTGTTACATTATAGTAACTCCATCGACAAAAATACCAGCGTTAGACGCTAGTAATAAGAGATGTTCGGGTACTAAATAAGATGTTTCAATTTCATTGTCTGTATATATCTCCATAGTATCATTTACATAACATAGTGATGTCGGCGCTGAAGTGTAGGCCTGATGTGGCCTGTCGCCGATTCTAGAACTTTTCGTGACTTGTTCACAGAAGATCTAAACTCGTGTCATTTGACCGGATCTTTTCATGACTGACGATAGTTTGAAGTAGCTACTAGACTTCCACCACGTTCGATAAGGAGCTAGGCATTTCAAATCTGAACATATATTTTTCCATAGCTTTATCAAGTCTGTTCTTGAACGCGTTCATACTTGGAGCGCCAACGATGTCATCGGGGAGGCTGCATGTTGTTCACGATTCATATTAATTCAGCTGAATTAAACTATGTCTTAGGAGGAGCGGTTTGCGATCGAGACGAACAAGATAGAATCATCGTCTATCCTGACCATCACAAATGCTCGTGTGGATGACAGTGGCACGTATCACTGCTACGTGGGCAACAGATACTACAACTCCTCTACCGTACCCGTCTTCATTCAAGTGTTCAGTAAGTGCCGCTCAGATTATGGATAGTTAATACAGGCCAAATGTATTGCTTGATTTTTGTCTAGAAATATCGACGAATATATTTTGCAGTTTGTCTAACTATAATTGTGAAAATTCTTTGTATATAGTTTTTTCAAAATTTTCAGTTTTTTGCGATATTAGGGATTTTCTGATAATATTTTCAATGTAAAAACAAATTACCAGCTCCCAATACAACCATTATTACCAGTCCAGAGTTTTTCCTAACTCTAAACTGAAGCATTTTTTTATCGAATCCAAACTTTCGGCAGAGAATGATACGGCAAGCGTGAGTTTCCCGAATAACTCGTATAATGCTCGTGTGGATGACAGTGGCACGTATCACTGCTACGTGGGCAACAGATACTACAACTCCTCTACCGTACCCGTCTTCATTCAAGTGTTCAGTAAGTGCCGCTCAGATTATGGATAGAATACAGGCTATATATTGCTTGATTCTTGTTGAGAAATAGCGAAGAATTTATTATGCAGTTTGTCTAACTATAATTCCGAAAACTCTTTGTATATAGTTTTTTACATTTTTTCTTCATTTTTTTTGCGATGGTGAAGATTTTCTGATAATGTTTTCAATGTAAAAACAAACTACCAGCATTCAATGCAACCATTATTTACAGTCCAGAGTTTTCTCTAACCTTAAACTGAAGCATTTCTTCTTAAAATGTATCCAAACTTTCGGCAGAGAATGATACGGCAAGCGTGAGTTTCCCGAATAACTCGTATGACATTCACTTGGACGAGATGAATGACATCATTCATTGGGTCATACTTTACGAGGGCCATCCTAGCATCCCGAGCATCAAATGGACCCACAACGGTAAACAATTCATTTCAGAGCATAAAGGCTCTGCCCCGTTCATCAACTTTTCCACAGTTGTAAAGCATTATTAATGTATTCCTAAAGTAACAATATACTGAGTAATGGCTTTTTATGATAACAATATAGTTGTTGGTTGTGTATTTAGGCTAATAAAAGACACTTATGCACTTTCACACCATGTTTTCAAGTGAAATTCATAAACGAGACAGGATGGAATAATTATTTGGGACCGTCTAGTGTAAGCTTGTAATGTACATGGTAACATGGGCACAGTATATGTTTATAACCGATGATCCTGAAATCAGTAACGATCTGACCTTTGAAGTGAGAGTTTGCAGCGCTACGAGTGCTCTTGAAGACCGCTGGCTGTGATCAGGCTGATTCGTCCTATATGAAAATGCACGGTCAACGATTTACGCTCCACATTTTCAAGGCTCCAAAGCATGGGTCAACTGAATTCTCATCAAAAATCTTTCTTTTTCCACCATCTCTCCGCCCATTTTCTTTTGTGAAGCAGAATTTTATGTTGCATAAACTTACGTTTCGTCAAGAGGTTACCTTGGAAAAGTCTTTACACAAAACCTTTGCCTTTAATACCAACGAAAAGAAAGCAAATGCCTTGAATTATACTAGTTTATCCAGACCAAAATTTCCGCTTCAATGTCTCAGGTGTGGTGCTAGCAAGCACCGCAGCCGGGGCGGTACATGTGGTCAACGATCGCTACCACATCAACGTTAGTCGAGAAGACGGAACTGTGATATTGCGTATAACTAACCCGTACATGGGTGATGTGGGCTCCCACCAACTAGAAGCCTGCATTAAAGCCGTCAACGAAGTGTGCAAGAACATCTCGTTCTCTCTGACCGTTCTAGGTGAGTTTTCAGCGCGGGTTTATTCTTCAAATTTCAGTACCGGTAGCTCTGAAGAATATATCCTTCAGTAGCTCTGAAGCGGGTATATACTTTAGTAGCTCTAACATCTTGCGTGTTTTTCATCAAGGATTTGGCATGCAAAGTAAATTATGATTACGAAACGAATTTGCCAAGACTTGAAGTAGTTTTTAGTAACACGTCGAGAATAGCCTGCATTTGGTTACTGTTGGCCAAATCCCCCTGTTTGAATGAATCTGAATGAATTTGGGGTAGTGGAACTGTGGGCTAACTTTAAAAGTGCCAAGTAAACAATGGTACGACTGTAGCCTGGTAAAAATATTATTATTCACCGAGATTGGTGAGATAAGAAATTCTGCATTTCGGATTTTTGATCACAAATAAACTTAGACTTATATCTGATTCCGTGGTAACATAACATTTTCAAATGAGTAGTCGTGATCGATTCCGCTAGGAGCGCTGACTCTTGCGCTTTAGTTTGGATGAATATTGTTAGAAAAATATTTTGGTCTGTTGAAATTTGAAGAAGTATACAATTTCGATTTCTGTGTCGCACCTAATGCTTTTCGCGAAGTGTAATAAACGATTTGCTGGCTTTCGATTTCCAAATTCATTAAAGGTACATTGGGTTCATTGCTACATTTAGTATGTCAGGGCAGTCAGGCGTATGCAATTCTACAAGTACATGAACTATTCTTGAGACCAATTTCAGTTATTTCATATTGCCTTGTAATCGAAATACTATTTTTAGATCAGAATGTTTCTATGAATTAAACTTACGCCTGTTCAATCCCAATATTTCTATAATTTACAGAACTTCATTGAGCCCACAGTTCTACCAACAAGTAACAAAATAACGAAGAGGCAGAATAAAATAATATAATAGTTGAACAAAATTTGGTCCGAGATGTCGAATTTACGAGTACAATTTGCATGGCCGTTTCAAGCCTACATATAATTGCTCCATAAGCATATATAAGCCTATTCTAGAAATGTTCACTACGACGTCGCTGCTAATCCTTTTTTCCAGGCGGACCAGAAGAAGTAAAAAGTTACGTCCAAGGAGGCGTGAAAGTTGCTGCAGTAAATTCTGAAGTGGAAGTGTCGTGTAGCGCACTCGGCAACCCTAGGCCTACTTTATCTTTGCTATACGCCTACTGCTCGTCTCCTAGCAACTGCTCGGCATACCAACATATAGCTACAGAGCTACAGGTAGCGGTATTAATATTACTATATTTTATTCCGTCTCATTTGCTATTGTTGTGTTAATTTTACATCTTCTGTGGTATTGTGTAGATTTCACAACTCGTATTGCATTGTTGCCTTTGGCATTCCTTGATTGCCGTGTTGTTCAAGTATTGCTGACTGGAGATCGTGAGCAAGTGAACGCTAACTATATAACCTGCTGATGAGTTACGAGAATTGGAACATAATTGAACGTTACTTTTTTCGCAGCGAAATGTAGAAGATTAATTATTGAATATTACCTCAATTTCGTTGAATGAATTGAAGACTGTTATTACAGATTGTGTGTGGTTTAACTCGTAACTTTTTTTGAGCAGTTTGTCACTTAATTGCATCTAAACGAAAACGCCAGCTTTCTTAAGATGGTATTTCGATTGTGTTCAGTTCAGACTCGTCTTATCTCTTCAAAATGTATTCCTTTTGACTGGAAATCTCCGTCGGGCATTGAGTTAACAATGAAGTGCTGCGTCTCATACACGAATCCATAGGTAATGAAATTAAACTGATTCATGTAGAAAAATTAAACAGAACCTTCCCAAACTGCTGTTTTGTTAAAATTAAGATCGATTCCATGCATCCTCTTCCAATGCTTGGTCAACATAAGCAAACCTGCTCTGTGTGATCGAGTCCCGTAAACTAAAGCTTTGTACGTAAAATTGTTCCGTGCGACGACCGCCATTCAGTCGGTCAAACTTCAACTATGTTGAAGTCGGCTGATAATGGAGTGCATGCATTTACCTCTACATTCATCGCTCGAGGAACGAAGTTGGTGCTTTAAAATATATTTTTTGTCTCGGAACTGCAAGTCGCTAGTCCCGTAGTCGTATGTTGAATAAATCATTTGTGTAAGAAACCAAAATTCCCTACCTCGCGTGCCGACTATATAATTTAGAAAAAAAATTTAAGATTGATATTTGATAGCAGATAAATTCATGCTCGGGGGAAGAGGTGAGCGAATCCTGTGATGGCTTGCCTGCGACTGCGGCTAAGACGAGCTACAAGGTCCATATCAACACTTCAGGCATGTTTGTATGTGAAGCGAACAACACACACGGCAGCGTCAGCTCGGCCGAGTACTTTGTTGCTGCCATCGAGAGCAGTGAGTATTGGGAATACTACTGTCTTAAACAGTGTTTCGTAGTGAGTGTGACAAATACTGTAGTCTATAACGCAGTTTTTTGTGCTGGTAGCAGTGGGTGGGAGGGATACTGCAGTCTTGAACATAGTATTTCGTACGCGGCGAAATTTCAGCCCTGAACATAATGTTCCTCACAGAGAAAAAAAGACAATGCGCCCTGCTAATACCTGAGAGTCTTTCTGGAAACCCTCTGTCTACTGACGATAAATCCAATCCTCAACCCTTGTTTGCGAATAACATTGACCAAGCAATACGTATCTATTGATAAAGCTGAACATGATGAATTGTGTGATTGATATATGGCTCAGAATATATAGCAACTCAGTCATAAATGTGGATTAAAATCGGTACCACTGTATTGATGATATTGTCACGTTCATGGTCAAATCCTTGCTCGATGTAAGATCCAGTATATTTTTATTACGTGTACAAAAAATCGCGCCTCTTACATCTGCATGGTGAGATAAAATTTAAGCATTGCCTTTAGTTTAGATTATTACCTTGCCCGTTCATGATTTTTTTCTGCATTTGTTTTTTAGCCCAAAGTCTTTATGCTTTGCAGAACAGGCGAAAAACCTAGAAGCCCTTTCGCTGAATTATTCCTTGGACGGAACGTCTACTGGGAACTGCAATCACCAGGCGGATGGATGTACAGTCTACACCCCGGCGACCGTCTCTCTTACGTGCCAGGCTAACATCTTTCATTTCTGGGACAAGAAACCTGTCATCTTCGCAGGACATCTCGAAGACTGCGCTGCTGAGAAAGACTGTAGTGGACTTACTGAGCTGGGTGTCAACGGGGCCAATGTCATTCGTTGTAAGTATATATTACGTGAGAAATGTATTCTCCTTAATAGTTTTAGAGAAAGAGATTAAAGGATCGTGAAAGTGAAGAATACAATCTCTTAATTAACAAGCAATTAAAAATTATTAATGATCAAATACTAAGTAATCCTGATTTGTGCGTTATTTTACAGGATAATCTGGCTTCCACAGTTGATTTAGAAAAATAAATCCTTATTAAATATATCTTCTTACTAAACACTAATAAAATTTAGATAAAATACAGGCCACGAAGACCACAAAATGCGAAATGCGTAATGCGTAGACATGTCGCCGGATTTTACCGCCCAAAATTTTGCCCTTGCTGCTTCTTTGATGTTCCTCCATTTTGGTCGTACGCAGCTTTTGTCGGTTGTTCATTGTTCAAATGCCATGCTTGTCGTGACTTGGTCTTATCTCTTTCTTGTTTCGCCGCTAGTCATTGAGTGGTCGACTGCTCTGACCCACTTCGTTAATGTGAGTCTGGCGCTGGACACCAACAGTGAGAAGTGCTTGTGCTACGAATGCGTTCTGCCGTCCGAGCGAGGCAGCACTAACGAAAAAGTCGGCCGGCGCATGCGCATAAGAGGTCAGCTACGCAGAAATATCTGCATTCAATTTATAATTGTAAAGAATGAGGTTCTCCAACTGAAGGTTAATCATACTTTGTGAATACTTGACCGATTAACTGGGATAAAAAAAATCACACGTAACCATATACTTCACTAAACATTAACTATAAAAAACGGTATTTTAAATCGACATCTTACGAGAAATGATTCCACCATGCCGGTACTGATAGTTTCACCTTGGTGGTACTAATAATTCAAATAAAATAGATTAATCTATCGCAGTTTTAAGAGAAAATTTATAACTATGATATTTCTTGAAACTAATGACCTAAAAAGTGTTTCTGCTACTCAAAGACGTTTTCAATTCACAATAAAGCATGGGCCGTAGTATCAAAACCCGCTTTAGTACACGTAGTGGCCCAGATACGCGGAGCGGCCTAAGTACAGGTAGCGGATGATTCTCATTTGTGATTGGCGTGTTCAGTTTGAACGACAGTCGGTGATTGGCTAACGATGTCACAAACGCTTAAATATTTCTTATATTACGGTCCCTTGTACAGAAAAGAGCGAGCCGTGGTTCGTAAGTAACTTAAAGCCGGAGTACGAAATTAAGGTGCAGGGCGAACTGCACCTCTCGTGTGCCTTACAGGGCCAGCCGCTACCCAGGGTCTTCTGGTACAAGGCGAGTCAAGTCATGTTGCCTTCGTAAATTTATAATGAAAGTATAATCAAATAAAATGATATTAAATTTGTAATTAATTATAATATTATAATTAGTAAGAAGCGAATACAGCACCTAAGCCACGTTCAGTGATTGTAAGTCTACGGTTACACATACGAGGGTTTGAATATCGTATAAATCTCTGTCATCTATAATTACTGCTTGGGCATTGAAATTTGTTTTGAATATCAACTGAAAAAGAGCCCATGAGTGTTGATTTTGACACGCAAACAATTACCAAACTGAAACTGTAATAAAGCAACAAACTTGACTTTAGTGATAAAGTGTACTAAATTGGGTACATTATCTCCTAATTTTTTGTGTTTCACATGAAGATTTCTGGTCCTATAGGACGAAGGGAAGCTGGCATATGATAGTGACCACATCGAGATCAGCGAGGACGGACAACAGCTCACGCTGAAGTTCTTGCGAGTAGACGACAGCGGCTCGTACAAGTGCCAGGTTAGAATACTAATCATTTAGAATAGAAGTGTCGGCACTGAAGAAATAGGCACATGGCCTGTTGCAAATATATAATCCACAAATTATCCATTAGAATTACTGAAATAATTGATTGGACTAAAGTTAAATTGAATACTATCTCTGGAAATGTTTCAAGTATAATCCTAATCGAAATAGGGGTTCCACTATAGATACTTTAAAACTTTATGTAACAATATAAAGTAAAGAACTATAATTGTTATAATTTCAAATTTTAATAGTAAACTATTGTTTATCGATAATGGTCGTTGTTTTAACGAAGCATTGAAGCTTAGGCAGAACTAAATCAATACATTTTTAATTTGGCTATACATCTTATATTTTAATTCATAGTTTAACTTTATATTGAATCACTTTCGAAGCATCCTTGTCAAGGCAGATATATAGAGCATTGAATCTCGCTTGTATTTCGTGCGATAGCCGAGAAAGTCTCTAGGATATCCACTTGAAAAATCTTGCCTGTATCCACCCACGCAAATCTAAGCGATATCCACCCTAGCAAATTATAGCTTAGCGTCGGAAAAAATATTCTCTACTCGTTCTGTTGGATGGCTTGTTGGAACGGATTGCCCTATTTAAACCCATCATGGATTGAAAAACTCAATCATCCAAAAATTTTCAGTATTTGTATCCTTTCTATCCAAAAATGTTCATCTTTATATTATTTTTGTCTCTTTATGTACATTTTTTGCCTTAACATAATTAAGTAATAACATAGTAAAAATATCAATAATAATATAATAATTGAATGATAATAATAATAGCCCAAAAATAACATTCAATCCATGTATCCATCAACACGAATATTTTTCTATCAATATATACATCACTAAAACTTTATCTTCTATCTATCCATGTACACATCATTAAAACAATATTTTTCTATAAATGTATGCATTACAAACACCATGTCATTTATCTATTTATACATTATTAAACCCTGTTTTCCTATCCATGTGCACATTGCAGACAGCGTTTTTATAACCATCTTAACATTACAGACGGACTCGAATTTCGGCTTCAAAAATATCAGCCAGAGTACGAAGGTGGTCGTAGTGGACCCGAATGCCCGCCAAAAAGAAATTTTGCTCTACGCGGTTATCGGCTTTTCCGTCGTGCTCGGCATCATCCTCCTGGTCAGCGCCGTGCTGCTCCTGCGCTTCCATGTGAGCATGTAGTCAAAATGTCCTATACTGGATTCAGTAAAAAATATTATATGATTTCGGAACAAGGTACGTTGGATAGAATAAAAGATTTTACGTTAAAATGTCATACGCTGGTTTCAGAACTAGGTAATTTGGATAGAGCAGAAGATTTTTCGTCTAAATATGATTTACTGGTTTCAGAACCAGATACCTTGGATAGAACAAATGATTTTCTGTCAGAAGATCATTTGCTGGTTTCAGAGCTAAGAACTTAGGATAGAATAATAGATTTTTCGTTTAAATGTCGCATGCTGGTTTCTGTACCATTTACTGTACTTTGCAAAGAACAGCATATTTTTCGTTAAATATCATTTACTGCATTCTGAAGCAGGTACTTTGGATGAAATAGAAAAATAATCGAACAAAATATCATATGTAAGTTGTAGAACTATTCGTTGTCCAGCATGGGATCTCACTACATTAGATACAGTAGAAGATTTCCCAGTTTATAAAAGTGTACTTTTGATGTCAATCGGTACTTTGATGAGATACTAATTTTGTAGAGTCTTTGTGAATTTTCCTGCCAAAAGAGTCTCTTAAAAAACGAAGTTGTCATTAAATTCTTTAACGTCATAAAATATTTGAGCAATTCTTACTTTTCTGAACTACCTATTATAGGAACCATAATTTGCAAGAGATTAAAGCGATATCCACAAACTGCTTGACTATTCGAAACTTTGTGAGAGCGGAATGCAGTCACCATTTTGTGATGGGAAATTTAAAATGAAAAGCTAGCATTTCGATATTTTCGTGCGAGCGTATAAATCAAAAGTTATTTACTATTTTGTTGCGGAAATTTTCAGAAGAAACGCAAGTCGCAAGAAGAGCAAGACTTCGCACAGTTCATAGATGGAAATGAGGACCGCTTAACGAGAGACATTGGTTTGAGCGAACAAGCTTTACTGTTACCCATGAAGAAGGAATTCCAATTTCCCCGAAATAAATTGGAGTATGGTTAGTAGAATAATAAAAATAGATGTACTATGAAAATTGTTTACAATGGCTGTACAGTACTTGGAATGATTTTTGCACAAATGGGACTAGTATCAAATGGAGACAATGTTGGTACGTTCAGTTTGATAATGTTAAATAAATGATTTTATATTGTTCAAAACCGCCAATGCTTGCTTATTGTAACACAACATTTTGAATTTTTTTCAGAACAGGGATCATTTCAAGTTAAATTTTGTGAAAGTTCCTGATGTTCCCTGCTGATATTAGATCAATTTTTTTAATTCAATAATGTCATAACTGACACACTAGCAATAATATTTTTTACCCAATTGTACAGAAAAACTTCTCGGTTCGGGAGCTTTCGGGATGGTGTACCGAGCGAAGGTGCGTGGCCCTATTCGCGGCGAAGTCCATCCGTACGTAGCGGTTAAAGAAGTCAAGTCTCGTTCTGACGAGAACCAACTCAAGTGTCTCGTGTCCGAAGTCAAAATTATGATGCACCTCGGCAGACATACTAACGTCGTCAACTTACTCGGCGTCTGCACTGAAAACTATCGATTAGGTATGAAGTATTAATTAATTAACGAGTTAATGGAAATGGTTCCACACGTATTATTAGTCAACTTGAGATACAAAGCTCTGATTAAGTTTGAAATGCAAATGTCCCTCGTTTTAAGCAAACGGGTAGATTAGTTATTAACGGACAGACAGACGGACAGACAGACGAACAGACAGACGTACTTGACGAGCACAACAGCGCCTTTTTTTCCAGAAATGAGAAAATGCGCTAAAAATCGAAAAAAAACTCGTTCCACTTTAAGCGCATGAAGATGATGACGGGCACGAGGGCTGAACGAAAACTCGTATAGATGAATGAGGTGAAATTCACACACATTAATACAGCAAATGATGAAATTTTAAAACAATTATTATTTCAGGCCAGTTCCAGATAATCGTTGAGTATTGCAAGTACGGCAACCTACTCAATTTCCTGCGCGAGAAGAAAGCCGCATTCATTAACGCCATGAACAGAGATGGCACCTTACGTAACCGTAAAAGGTAAGCTTCTGATAGAAATTATTGGAAAGGAAACCTAAAATGTGTGGGGCGATATGACAGATGCGGAAATGAATTGCAAGGCCAAATCATAGAGTTCAAAAAGTTAACCGCTTTATCTTCATTTGGAAACTGTGAGTAAAAAGTGAAAGTTGGGTACGATTTCTACAAAGTAACATATGAATAAAGTTAATATGTGTGCAAAAACCTTGTTTATAATTTATTTAATAGTTTCTTAAAGTTTGTTCGCAATAGATGTTCTTCGTTCGAGTTCTCCTTTACTTTCATTTTGCGTGACTGCTTATAAGTTTGCGTTTATTATCACATTTTCATCTAGTTGTTGGAACTGAAATGTTTCCTTTGAATTTGCATGACAAAATCTCAAACTATATGCAGACGCTTTTGGATGCAAATTAAGTTCTTGCTCATTTTCTAGGGAATAAATCGAATATATATAAACTGAGGTCATTAGGCCTCGAGGCAAGGAATTGCGATACTGAGTGCGAAAAGTTTGTGTAAATGTTGCTATCTCTATAGAATTTGTGCGTCCTTTCAACTTAAGATATGAACATTTTGCAGCCTCTGTAAGCAACCAATGATATTTCTTATTGTTCAATGATCATTATTATTCATTTGTACATAAACCTCAGTAATTAACTATTCCAACCACTATGCAGTTTTTCAACCCTTCATATCACCATTCAGCAGGCTGAGCAGCAACTGCGTATACATGAACATGCCAAACCCTGGCAACCCAACGCAAACCTACACTAGATCCCGATCCCAGAGCGCCGTCTCGACCCTACGCCGGGAACCTGTCACTCCTCCGGCCGGCACAGCAAACTCAAAATTCCCAAGTCTACCTAACTCGCCAACTTATAACCCTCAAGAAGCTAATTATGACAAACCATGCCCTCAAATGAGCAAACTTGATGCAAGCAATACGATACCTCGGTGCCGTGCTAAGTCTTCGTCTGACGCCAACTCATCCATGGATACTATCAGCGGGTCATCCACGCTTGTGAACACCGTAAATGGGTCATCCTCGATGTTGAACACCGTAAATGGGTCATCCTCGATGGTGAACACCGTAAATGGGTCATCATCGATGGTGAACACCGTAAATGGGTCATCCTCGATGGTGAACACCGTAAATGGGTCATCCACGCTTGTGAACACCGTAAATGGGTCATCCTCGATGGTGAATGCGGTCAATGGATCACTCGGAAGTGGCGGCGTGGAGTATGCAAACCTGATGTCTGACATGACCCAGACTGTATCTGGTACGATATACTGACTTTAAATAGTTGTACGTTTCTACTTATAATATTTATCTGCAAAATATCTGATTATCCTCGCTACAAACCTTCACTGTAGCCCCTCGAGGCGTAACTATTTGTGTTTGATTATTTACAAAAAATTATGGCATTATCTCTGTTGCTGTCTACTTGTCCCTTCATTCCGAGTCACGCGCTACTCCTTTCTTCGACGCTTTATCCCTCCGGGTATTTTTCTTTCCTCTGACTGACTATCACCCGCAAATATTTTTTATGTACGCATTATTTTTTAACTTTTATGTGTGTATAATATTCCAGATGGCGCTACGGATCCCGTCGAAGAGCCCGTCATATTTGACATCAACAACTACACGCTGCTGGGGTGGTGCTATCAAATCGCCTGTGGAATGGATTATTTAGCCAAGCATAACGTGAGAAGCATAGGCTGCTATCTTCTCAATAAAGTATTATTGGAGTGGCCGATATAGTGAAGTTCGCTAAGTTTAGGTTCATGCAGATTGCTTATAGGTCATGCAGATTGCTAACTTTATAGTCCATAACTTGTGATAAATTTTATCCATATTCTGAACAGTAATATTATTGCATGAAGGAGTACGTCTAACTAGATGTACACTCTACTCATAAAAATGATTTATTCTCCAGAAGTTCTACATGATATTTTTTGTCGTAGGTGTCATATTATGTGAAATTATAATCAAACGTGCGCAACCGTTCCTGTGAGTTTCGCCTTAAAGGTTGTACATTAAAATGCCTGTGTGATTTCAATTCTGTACATATTGACGTAATTTCAGAATCTAACCTTGAAAATTTTATTCAATTTAATTACTTATTATTCTGCCTAAAGGTATAATTTGCACTAAAGTGCAAGTTTTTCCTGTGAGTGACCTAAAACCATCAATTTGGTCCATAATGCAGGTGCTGCACGGAGATCTGGCAGCTCGTAACATCTTGTTGGCTGAAAATAACATCGTCAAAATCAGCGACTTTGGTTTATCTAAAAGCTTGTACAATTATCAGTACAAAGCCAACTTCAAGGTGAGTAAATGTATTTCTTTTCACTAAATTTCTTGTAGCATCTTTGTTAAGCGAGACATTTACTCAAGCAGGCGCAAGCAGTTCGACGCTTTTCATCGTCATAATAATTTAATGTATTGGTTCATCACAAAATATCGATGGTTATCCTACAGTTTCATTGACTTTATGTATCTGAATTAATCGAATGTCTAAAACGTTGGCAGAATCCACAAAATTATCATATGCGTCATTTTACTCAAACAGATTCACGGATCCATATATATCCAAATGTTTCCCTTCTATGTTAAGAAATTTGTCTCGTGTCGACAGGATGTGTGGTCCAGTTTCCGTTAGTGGAACCTTAGTTTCCGTTTTTTTCGAACTTTTCAGGCACTCGTCTACGGATGATTCATCCTTCGTTAGTGTTTTTCATATGCAATGGTCTGGTGCTAACCAGAGCTACTGTCAGTTCAAAAAAGATTATCTCGTATACCCCAAAAAAATACATTAGTCGTATTCAATATCTGACCAGGTAACGAGTTTTGACGTCAGTATGCAAATGGCTCGTCCTTCGGCTACGGATCCATTGATCGTCGTCAAAGCTATCGTATTTAGAGGCCAGGAGCTAGATTTATTTATAGCCAGATGACAAATGATTAAAAACTAGAAGATTTATATTCAAACAATCCATACAGAAACCAATGCCGATCAAGTGGATGGCGATCGAGTCGCTGCGGGACGGAATTTTTTCGACCCAGAGCGACGTGTGGGCGTATGGTGTGGTCATGTGGGAGGTCTTCTCGCTGGGACAGGTCCCGTACCCAACCATCGACCTCAACAAGAACTTCGTGAACCAACTCGAGAGCGGCGTCAGACTCCACAAGCCGCAGTATGCCAGCGAGAAACTGTACGTGACGTTGCGTCTTTCATAAAAATTTTTATTGTTGTTACTGCGACCTAAAACCATCAATTTGACCATAAAAGGAAACAATTCGGTTACTTATTGCAATTTATTTGTCACTACGTAGAGCTTGAAAAAGATGTTGACGAAAGGAATGACCAGTCATAAAGCAATGGATGCAACGGAATTATTCCATTTATACTATATGTAACCCACAACTTAGGCAGCGGTCTATTAATGACATGGTTTACACGCATTTCGAGCTCAAAATAATAATGCAAGAACTGCCCCCCATATATATCTTCAAACCAGTGCTGTCATTAGTCATATTTTAGGTGGGCTTCTTTTCTCTTAAATAATTTTACGCTCGTTTGTCGATTTTGTTTTCTAATAATAACGTGTCAATAAATTCAATAGAATGTGGCATGAATATGAGTTTTAATAAATAATCATACAAGTTCATGAGGCAGGTTTGATGTGATGCGGTTATGTTGGTTGGAGAATCCGGCAGAACGACCTAAGTTCGACGCTCTACAGGAATTGCTGCAAGCCTTCATGGACGATAAAACAAGGAAGGTGAGACCATCGATTTCACAAATGTTATTCAAACCTTTTTGCGTTATTTCATTCGAATAACAAAATCGTCGTTGGTTAAAGTAATAGCAAAAGTTTATTTGAAAATGAAATTATTGCAACCTTCATTAACCTTAATCTGCTAATAGAAGCAAAAATTGTACAGACAATTAGAATCTCAAGGCCTGATGCGACTTGAGGTGCTCTCAGTAAATAAACTGATGAATTCAATTCATTTAGCATTCATATTGATCGTCACCGCTGATGAAAACTTGCTTTTTTTTAGTACTATGAAGATATGAACGTCACTGATAACGAGCCTGTCGAAAACTCGCTACTGAGCCGAGTCCGCAGTCCCGACATCCGAGCTATGAGCATCGACGCGGATGGCTACGAGGTCCCGAAGCAACATCCTGACTCAGGTCTTTACGAGAACGGCATGTTACATCGCAATATTAATTCCTTGTCCCTCACAATACCGCCCAGTGATGAACTGAGAGACGAAGTTCCGATGCAGCTTATGAATGAAACGCCGTGCACTTCCCCCCATTCCCCGAGAACTTTCCCCCAATCCCCGTGCACTTTCCCCCAATCCCCATGCACTTCTCCTCAATCCCGCGCTTGTCGGAGTGTCACTCCACTCAGAGCCATCAAATCCCCACGCAGATTACGCTCCGTCTCAATTTCAGCATCTCCAGCTACCATATATGAAGAAACAGTCTTCAATTTTCCACCAACAAGCGATCAACTAGAGCCAGAAGTCGACTTCGTTAGGCCTGGGCATGATAGCGGAATTTTCAATTCTCCTACTCCATTCGTAGATAATCCAGGATATTACACATTAGGTTCTAACGAATTACAGAGCGAGAAGACACCAGTTCTCTACAAGCAGGCGAGTCGCTTGGAAAAACGAGAATCCGAGACATCCAGTGGGATAGGGTCTTTGCACGGGCCTTCCTTCGACAGCGTGAGTTCTCTTTCTCCAACTTCACCAGAATGCAGACCGCTCCTTCAGGCCGTGTGAAATTATGCTTTTACCATAGTAAATATTTTTCATGGTCAACAACCAAATTTATAATAAGGTAAATTATTTTCTACTTAGTTTTTATAGGTGTAACTCCCAAGACTTGATAAGCGAACCCGTTCTATGGAAAAGTAAGTATATAAATTCAGTGGCTTCTATAATATGTGTGTTGATTTTCAGAAGTAAGAGTTACTTTCTAAGTTAAATGAATTTACAGATGTAAAATAGATGTTCGGTAGATGGTAGACGATCAACTGACATTGTTGCAGCTTCAAATTCGGCAAGGGTCTTGGTTAGCTAATAAGCAAAACTTATTAAAAAACCGTTCCTTGTACAACGAGCGCAATACATGTACAAGGAAGCCCAATTCAAAAGAGCCTATTATAAAAAAGGAGGCACCCGACCTAACGAGTGGACTACCTTCCACTGTAAAACTATAAAAATTGGCAAATCTTACATTATGCGCCTACATAGTTTCCAAGGTGAGAGAATGAATGATGATTATTGTGTAGTTTATCTTTGAGGTTTTAAACTGTATGCATTCCTACATACTATAATACGCATTAATTGAACTATTGTTTACTGCTGTCTAAATACTGAAACATTTAATGTCATAAGTGTTTACAATACGTATTGCTAAGCTCATTGTAGATAGAAATGCTAAATTAGACTAATTTATGTTTTCAAATGATCTCTGTAGTTATTTGTAAATAACAAATTCTATTAAATGATTTATACATTTTCATTTTATTAATTTAATTAACTCCAGCGGCCACCCTTGGTAGGAAATCATTTGATCAACTGTTTATAAACAGGGCGTTTTTCAAATACGTTTCACTTTAGCCATTTCTCAATGAGGCGTAGGTTGAAGGCTGATGAAATTTAGAAAATAGACATCGAGCTGATATCAATGAAAAGTTCGAAAAGTGATAAACTTTAATAGAAATAATTACACCACTACATTGTCCAATGAATTGTGGACAGCTCTACTGTATCAAGTGAAACGTTTCATATTCATTAAATGCAAATTGCGTCTTTAAATCTCGAAGATACATTCCTAGCCACAAATTCTTACAGTTTGCAAGATGAATTTAATGTTTCCTAAAACTTCATAATTGTAATGGAAAATTTCGGGAATTACCTTCATTATTAAATTGAAATAAAATGAGTAGGTTAATATAAAAACTTGAGATCTATTCCTCACGATATTCATATTGATTTTGGACGTTAGATTTCGGTATACATCACTCGAACTCTGTACAATTCTCATCAAGCCTATACCTCTTGGAGAGCATTTTCTCGCTATCACCCACACAATACCTCAGTCTGATGTCAAGGGAACGCTTCTTGTGTTGCGCAATTGTTACCTCTCCAGAAAACGCTGTGTCTTGCACAACTTTGGTGGGCGGTAGAGGGAGAACTGTGTTTTGCCAGTGGGTGTCCTCGAGGTCCGGGGAAGTAGAGAGTTTCACCCCGCCAGGGAAGAAGACGTCAAACCAGAAGACGAGGCAGTTCAGCCGCCGGGATCCCATGCTGGACAGTTTGATGTCAGCCTTGACACTCAAAAGTTGCTCGGCTGTGACAGTGTTCAGGTCAAAGTCGCATACAGTTGCTGGTAGGCTTAATACGTCCTTCTGTGGCATCATGAACACGTGTGCGTACTCTGCAAGTGGAAATGGGATCAGTATAAACTTACTAGAGATAACTATGCAGAGAATATTCTAAAATATACATATATGAACTTGGTACGTTGTAGTTATTGTCAATTATGTAGTAATTATGTTGTAGTTATAGTTAGTATTTGCAACAACATAATATAGTATAGCAAATATAGTATTTGGTAGTTATAAATATCGTTCATGTTTATAATATATAAACACTGAGTAACCAACGAGACAAATAAGGCGATTACTTCACGTTGGATCTCGATTTACTACTTTGCATATTCTCTATCGAGTACATCAATGACGATTAAAACGTCACGGTGTCAATAATTGATTTGGGTTCAGCACCTTCGAACAGAATTGCGGTGAGTTTGACCAGCATTGGATAATTGTAGTGGCGATTCAAACTATTGAATTAACCTTAATCAGATAAAGTTTATCACTAGATCTTTGATCAAGTGTGAATTGATCAATCAACATCGGCGCGAATTTGGATAAACTTACTTTCATCAGGGTTAATTTTTCCAATGTTGGCTGGGTGAACTTGAAGCATTTCAAGATTTATAGGTTGACCGTAAAATATAAAACAAACGGTAGCTTTTGTTTAACATAAATTATTTATGCAGTTTAAAAAATCGCTTATTACCTGAAGCATCAGAAGTCCACATAAAAATTGATTTTGTTGACTGGAGAGCCAAGAGCAGCGTACCAGATTGATTACCTGGACTTTAGAGCACAAAGCTGTGCAAGATCTATCATTGAACTCACCGCTGTATTTTTCTACGGCATGGTCAGCAAAGAGCGTCATGTCCAAGCCATACATGGGGTTGAGCGCAATCCAGAAGTCATAAGTGTTCTCTTCATATTTAGTGATCCACGAAGCTTCCCCCATTGCTACTTTGAGCACCGCGCGTTCTGGAAACATCACGCCTCCCTGTAAAAGAAATTTCACCTCAGTCATTTGAATCTAGTTAAAAAACTTGCTTCAAGAGGGAATTTGCTTGATTTTTTTAATGTACAAATTTTTTCCCTATGTGACTCGCAAAATCTAATGGAAGGGAATTTCCTACAAGGGTACTCCTTAATTTGATGCTTTTCACACACACTAGTGGAAATATTATATTATTAATCAATTATTAATTAATTAACCAGCATTGCTCTAGTGAGAACATACAATGACTTAAGTCACATCATCTCATTACAACAATTCAATTATTTACCCAAGTAGATACTTCAGGAAGGAGCAAAAATGTTTTGTACACAATCCCTTAATAAGCACGACTCAAAAGGGACAATATCAACAAGAAATCAAGAATCGGACATAAAAAATTTCCAATATTAATAATACTCAAAATAACACAGGCAATAATTGTGTTGAAACTTGAGGAATGATGATGAGAGATTTTGATCAAAGCAAATTCATATGCATCAACAGAAATTTTTTTGGTAGAATAAGAAAAATCTTTTGGTAATTTCTTTGTTGAATGATTGAGGTCATTGGTCAAATCGTCACTGCAAGAATATATGAAAAATAACATTTGTTTAGTGTTTTTCAGTTAGGTTACCATAACTTTGGCAGCAAGGACTGCTATTTACTACTTATCCCTGCTGTGCAGCACTGAAGGCAGCACGGTCTAGTTACAACTCACCGGCTTGAGCCACTTATCCCTGATGTGCAGCACTGAAGGCAGCACGGTCTAGTTACAACTCACCGGCTTGAGCCACTTATCCCTGATGTGCAGCACTGAAGGCAGCATGGTTTCATACAGCATCATGTAGCCCATCCACTCACTCACTATCACATCAACTTTCTCTGGTAGCTCCACATCCTCAGCTCTTCCCTCAAGAACTGCGATGAGAATTCATTTCAAAATATATTCAAGAAAAAAAAAAAACACAACTACAAATAATTCTTTTATTGCAATATGTTACCTGCAGTGGTTCAGATGGTTGTGAGTGGTTCTTATCAATTCTACCTTGTTCAGCAATATTTTGTCATTTACTGGGTACAAGATCATAATAAAAGCTGGAAAAATGGAGTCTATAATTAAATCACACTATAACTGAGCTGACTTGCTTTGTCAAAAAATAGTCAAGTGTGTCCAATGAACTGTACATATGAAATCTTGATTGTGTAATGATAATATAACTAAAGAAAAAATTGTCCCAATTAATTATCACAAAGAAAATTGGCTTAAAAAGAACATATTGTGCACTAAAATAAAGAAAAAAAAACATTCAAGGACCTTACCAGTGATGATGTCTTCAAATCCATTAGCAATGACTGACTTCTTGGCAAGCATAGCAATTTGAGACGCCTCAATGGCATAAACTTTCTTGGCTCCAGCCTGAGCACAGAACAAGCTCAAGATGCCAGAACCACAGCCAACATCACAGACAATTTTATCTTTGACAAAACTTGGGTCTTGCATGATAGCTTTATGGTACGCATCCGTCCGCACCTGGTCTTCAATCATTGTTCGATGAACCTCCGTGTCAGCATATGAACTGCAATTGCGATAAAAATTAGACCCTGCCTGAATCCTGTATTTTTATACATACATACACCAAATTGATTTTAAATATTTTTGTAAGTGATTTATTCAGTCTTTCTACAGTGATGAATGGAACAGAATATGATCAACTTAACTAAACCTTGCAATCTATCACAGACACAGAAAAAACAGGCATAAATAAATTAATTGATTTATACTAAGTCATGAACAAAGCTTGAATATTCCAACAATTATTTGCTTGCTTGTATGAGCATGCAATGTCCTGTCTATCATTATTTGATCAAATTATTCTTCTAGGCCAATTAAACTGTTCAAAATTTTTACTGAAAACTTGTGGGCTCAAAATCACAAATTTTGTTAGAATTTTATATATTCTATCTCAATCAGGCCATCTATTTAGCAAATGAATAGAATTTAATTTGCATAATGGAAATCTTGCAGCTCCAAAAATGGCAGGAATGCTCCAGTCACTGCTTAAATGGTAGGTAGATATTTTTAGTTAGGAACCAAAGATACAAACCATCCTCATTTTGTCATCTTTATTGGGATGATGAACAAGAACATATCACATAGAAATGTAATGAAATTGAATTCTTCTACTATTTGTGTAATTTTGGGTATTCTACTTGTATTGAATAAAACAATATAAGAAAAAATATATATCTCTGTCATAACATTTTTATACCAACCTGAAATATTCTTCATCAACAAACTTTTCAAAGTTTTGCTCATCAGATTTTCCATTCTGCACATCAGTAGGTTTTCCATTTTGTACAATAGGTGAACTAGTCAATTCCTGCTCAGGGGTATCATTACATCTCAAACTGTACTCTTCTACATGATCAACTTTCAATTTTTTTGCTGGATTTGACACATCCATTATTGAGACTGAGTGTGGGGTCAAAAGATGTCTGCAAAAAAAGCATTAAATTTATTAGTGAACATTTATACTAAATTAAATTATTTATATTATTAAACTTTAAATTTGTCCCTTGGCATTTTTTGGTAAATTAAAAAATTGCAAGTTAGTATCCTGAGCCTCGATACAATAATTCTGGCCATACTGCAATGCACCTAATTTATTGGGGCAAGGTCTCCCTGGTTTGCTGTGAGCATTTGTGCAATACAATCAATTATAGTGAGCACTCAGCACTGAGCTGTGACCCCAACCTCATGGAGACATGATTGATAGTACAATCTTCCTTGACAACAGGAACATCAAAGGGGCCTTTACCATCATTCAAGTCACAGATAGCCTTGAAATTTAATGCAGACAAATCACCATTGCTTAGGAAGTTGACTCTTAAGTGACTTGACATAGCAATGGCCATTGGCCAAGTTGTCAACCTTTTCCATCAAAGTTGACCTTTTCCATTTTCCAATAAATCTAATTGAGGGCAATGTAAGCCTTTATGTTGCTTTTGCATCATTGTTGAAGATCACAAAATTTTAAGATTCATGGCTTATCATGGTCCACACTCCACAGGGCAATGAGGGCATGATCCAGACTCTAGAACATGGATACCATGCTAGACTAGGTCTAGGTTCACTATACTGTCCACACTCCACACAGTACAGTGAGTACACAGCCACTACACACACTGCATGAATGATGAATGCAAGGCTGTGATATATGACTCAAAAACAAAC